TATATATGTTAGACTCTATATGTCAGTACATTTACATGCATAAACATAAAAAAAATTAAAGTTAAGAAGTTAAAAATATTCCTAATATGTTGACATTTTTGTTGAAAATAGCCTGATTTTATTTGTTGAGACATGCCTTCACTTTCATAGACCCGTAAGAGTTGTTTGAGATGTCTGAGTCATGATGCGCGAAAGGCATGTTTGCTAAAGCTGTTTGAAAACTTGTAGTTCTGCTAGATGACACTAATAGTGCAGACACTGGCTACCTTACCTTAAACTTGATGCACTAAAATAACTAAAACTTAATAAAAACTATATAGACTGTCTATAGTTTTTATTAAGTTTTTGTTTTAGTTATTTTTACATACTACTATAGATTTTGAATATTTGGATTAGTGTTTATTTATTTTTCTATTTTTTTATTTTAATGAAAATTTTAGTAAATATGTTTTTGTCATTTTTATTTGTTATTGTTTTTATATGTCTATTATAGTTGTTGTGCAAAGCATGTAATCAAATATTTTTTTATCCCACCTCCACCACACATATTTGATAATGTCAAATTGGTAATGAAAAGCCCATAGTTGTAATTAAACAAACATAATTAAACTATAATTACTCTGTAGGACTGTGCTGAATTGGTGGATTTAGCTTGAAGGCTTTGTCAAGTCAGTGCAATCACATTGAAGTACCCAGACATCTCTGAAAGTGAATCAATACTAGCGTGTTTAATCAACTAAACCAGAGGTGCCCAAACTCGGTCCTGGAGGGCCGGTGTCCTGCAGAGTTTAGCTCCAACTTGCCTCAACACACCTGCTGGGAAGTTTCTAATATGCCTAGTAAGAGCTTGATTAGCTGGTTCAGGTGTGTCTAATTGGGGTTGGAGCTAAACTCTGCAGGACACCGGCCCTCCAGGACCGAGTTTGGGCACCCCTGAACTAAACATTCACAATGTGCTTTTGAAAAAGTGTCTTAAAGGGATAGTTCACCCAAAAATGAAAATGTTGTCATTAATTATTCATCCTCATGTTGTTCCAAACCAGTAAGACCTTTGTTCATCTTCAGAACACAAATTAAGATATTTTTGATGAAATCTGAGAGCTTTCTGACCCTGCATAGACACCAGACATATGAAGCTACAAGAATACTTTTTGTGCGCAAAGAAAACAAAAATAATGACTTAATTTAATGATTTCTTCTTTTCCGGTCAGTCTCCGCCATCCTTTATTTGTGGTACTCTTGTGAATTGTGTCGAAGGCTGACACAGAAGAGAATACATTTTTGAATAAAGTCGTTATTTTTGTTTTCTTTTCACACAAAAATACGTTCATAGATTCATAAAATTAAGGTTGAATCAATTATGTCACATGGTCTATTTTAATGATGTCCTTACTACTTTCTGGGCCTTAAAGGCACAATATGTAATTTTTCGCCGCTAGAGGGTGCGTATTCAAAATAAACAAAGAATCAAAGGC